AATGTTTGCAATCTGGGTTGGGGTGTATATTTTCTAGACCTCCAGCTACGCTGAGAACAAAATTCCATATTGACGTGCTGGAGCTCTGGATAGTATGGGAGGTCTTCAAAGCTTTTTATTCCTTGGGCGGTTTTGTTTATAAAGTACATGTGCTTGCAGACAACACAAGAGTTACAGGTACTTCATTAACAAGCTGGGAGTAGTATATTCCCAGTCATTATCAATAGGGGCAAGAAAAAATTGAATATGGTACATTCAGAACTAAATCCACCTAGTAGCTCTTCACCTTCGTCAGCAAGGAGGTTGGATGGCCAGAATGCTTGCAGGTCAGGTCACCCTGCAATAGAGCACTTCACATCAGATCAAAACACTAAATGCCAATATCTCTTTGTGCTCTTTTACAGTGCAGTACTTTTCAGCTAAGCATCTGTTTGAACAGTGGTCTCTATTCCTTTCTTTGCTTGAACTCAGGGTCCTAATTGGTATGACTCCTGTGTCCAACCCAATCATCTTGATATAAGCTGTGCAACATTGATCACCAGAGCTACTGTTGCAAAAGGAATTGTTTTATCTCTTGTTCTTGTCCCTAGACATCCTGTCTTGAAGCATCCAGAGATGCTCCATCTTGCAACATGAGGAATAACCCATTGACTAATATTTCTATTCTTTGAAAACTGTTAGATATCCTCTTAAAATTTAGGAAGGGCTCTACCCTGAAATGTTGTAAGTAAAAGGTACATCACTTAGACCACCGGAGAAAGAGTTACTTCATCTAGTAGTTCCAGAAAATGTTTTGTACTTGGAGTCTTAAGACTTATTTTAGCCTCCCTAAACATCCACACAGCAGCAGTATCTGTTTGTTGTAGTCATGTTCCCGTTTCTCTCTTCCTACAAGATCCCAGCTTCCTTAAGAGCAGAATAAATGCATTTTTCCCCACTTGGGAACCCCTGCCCTAACTGGACCTAAATTATGTTCTAAGTGGAGTGGCTCACCTTATCAGCCTGTAACACACACACACACACACCTCTCTCAAGTAAATATTGTAATAAGGACAAAGTTACAAGTTCCATCTCAGCTCCATGCTTAGGCATTCTCAGATTTTCAACCATATTGGAGTATCCTCTCTGTGTTCCTTTCCAGGAGACATCTGCCACTCAAGGACATTTGCTTTCTTACTTTCAATGGCAAGAGACTAATTTTTTGTTTTCTTTGTAAAAAAACAAACTTTCTAGAAAAATCCAAAAGGTTACTGATAGGAGGAGAGGTTAAAATGATTCCATTACCAGGCACTTTATCCCTAAGTTAATATGAAAAACATCATCTCATTTTAAATAACTGAACATCTAAAAATTGAAGGAACACTTCAATTAAGAGCTAATATACAATTGGTAACATGTTTTGGATAATTCTCAGCAACTTAGAATTGGGTGCATACTTTTTTCATTTGTTTGGGTGAACCGTGCATCAGTCCCTTTTTAAGTGAAGAACTCTGCTCACCATCATCGTGGCACCAGTAAGAAAACACTTTGATAAACAAAGAGTTGTAATTCTTGGTTATCTTTGTTTTTAATTGCTTCTGCATGTTTATATGTACAGCTTATCTTCCTCTTAATGTTTGGGACTCAGCAGATAGGAAGGCAGAGATGTCCATATCCTTATACTAAGGAAATGATATTGCCCTATCTATAAGGTTTCTTAATGGACCCACACTAAACATGGCTTTTCAAGGCAGTTCTGTAACCTGATGCCTTGGGAAGTGGGAGGCTACATCCTGTAGAGGCGAATGTACAAAGGAATTTTCCTAAGAATAGTTACTGGCAGTAACTGTTGTGTGTAGTGGCTTGTGGTTTTTTGTTTTTTGGGGGTTTTTTAGTTCAAAACCGCAATTATGTTTTCATAATGGTCTGTTACTGGCATGATAACATGACTTTTACTGAGTTCAAATATGTCGTGCTAGACTGGAAAATCAAATTGTAAACCGCTGGTTTGGGACAAGGCCTAGCTTGATTGTGCGTCTTTTATAGGCTTGGAATCCTGCAGCAGAAGACCAGTGTTTTGACAGATGTCACAGACTTGGCCAGAAGCAAGCTGTTGTTATCACCAAGGTGAGCTGGAAAATCTTGCATCTGAACAATTTTATGTTTATGATATAGAAGTATGTGGGGCTTTTGCTTAATGACTTTCATTTAAGAGTATTTCACATAATTTGCCTATTTTTTTTAAATGCTTAAAAATATGTTGCTCTCTGTTTTTGGGTACATAATGAAATGTAAAATTGAATAAGGGTTTTTCATAACTAACATACTAGTTTTAGGCACAGGATATGCTGGGTGTAAATGACACTAATGTTGATGCCTAGTCTAGCCACTAATGTTGTTTATTTTTTGGCAGAAAAGGCAGTGCCCTTCCACATGTCACT